TCTCTGAATTCCAGCCAGCTTCTGTGATACATGGAGATGAAAGGTAATGCCATGGAAATATCAGGATAATGCGGTAGGGACTAGTGTTCAAATTTTTGATCTATCACTCACCAAGGGTGCCATCTGAAGAAAGCTAGCCAACTTCTATGAAGTCAAAGATGCTCAGTGGAAAACACACTAAGATGGGATGCCATGGCGGAATACACAGGAGAAGCACAGGAAGGTACCTCTGGGTAGCTGTTGCCGTTGCCTGTAGGTCACCTTTGGGTAGCTGTCTTTTTCAATCGCATTAGATTATAAAAGAATCAGCCACCCCCTAGCTATGATGCTCAGTGGGAGGAGCCATGAGTTCTTTTGTACATATATGGGTATGAGTGCCCACTATTATTATGGAGGCTTGAAGGTGACTTTGGGTGTCTGCTTTCTCAGGCACACTCTACCCTGTTTTTTTTGAGACAGGGTCTCTCTTATTGAACTGGGAGCTCCCCGATTCAATTAAACTCGGTTGGCTGATCAGCCCCAGGGATCTTCCAGTGTCTGCCTTCCCAGCACTAGAATTACAGGCATGTGGCACCTTACCTGGTTTTCTGTGGAGTATTGAAGATCCGCATTGCAGGTCCTCATGCGCACATGCCAGGCAGTACTAACTGAGCCTCCTAGGGCTGTGCATTCTCATGGTTGATCATAAACACCAGGAGAATAAAGGTAGAATTTAAGGTTGTCTTGACAGAGCTATTTCTCGCCCATGCCTTCAAGAGCACCTCATCCCTTTCCCAGGCTTTTCTGCAATCTCTCCTGAGATTTACTCATTTTCCTTAAGATCTTTTTTTCTAAGTCCCGGGTAATCTATTGGGTTTCTGGCGGTGCTGCGATGACTTATAGATTTAGTGCTCTGTAGGAAAAGAAGTTTGTTATCTTTTCTGGTGGAAAAAGTTTCATTAGGCTAACACAAAAACATCAATTGGGCCATTTCTTACTGGAAGCTCTGGGGAATTGGTCATTTCCCACGTTCATTAAAGCTTTTCAGTTTAGTTCCTGTAGCAGGTCTTTCTTTGGATCACCAGCTCCCATATAAAGACATGGAGACTTCTTATTAAGTATGAAAGCTTGGCCTTAGCTCAGGCTTGTTCCCAACTACTTCTTAAAATTTAAATTAACCCATTTGTATTAATCTATGTTCTGCCACGTGACTTCTTATTTGTCCTCAGTACAGTGTATCCGACTTCCTCCAAGTCTGGGTGGCATATCCCCCAGCTCTCAGATTCCTTCCCAGAACTCCTATCTCTGCCTGGAAGTTGTACCTATCCTCCCCTGCATAGCAATCGGCTGTTTAGCCTTTCATTAAACCAATCAGAAGGCACCTTAGGCAGATCAGGTGAAAGAGAGACATATCTTCACAGTGTACAAAAAGAGACTATCATTTTGAGTGAGGTAACCCAGACCCAGAAAGACAATTATCACATGTACTCACTCATAAGTGGTTTTTGAACATAAAGCAAAGAAAACCAGACTACAAATCACAATCTCAGAGAACCTAGACAACAATGAGGACCCTAAGAGAGACTTACATAGATCTAATCTACATGGGAAGTAAGATCTCCTGAGTAAATTGGGAGCACGGGGACCGTGGGAGAGGGTTGAAGGGGAGGGGAGAGGCAGGGAGGGGAGCAGAGAAAAATGTAGAGCTCAATAAAAATCAACAAAAAAAAAACTATCCCACAAGTTCCTTATAGGTGGGACAGAGATTCCTCTTCACTTGCTAGCTCTCAGCCCGATTGTCTTCATTCCTTGGTTCATCCTCCCGACCTTCTTCTTCAGTGCTAGCAAAGCAAGTTATAATTTATATTTTGACCCGTCCTTTGGCTTCCTTTCTGGTCTTTACCTCTTTTGCCTTCCTCTTTTTATTTATTTGTTTTTACAATGTTTAAGTCAGTTTACTCTTATTTTAAAAACGTATTCATTCAGAATTTCATGTATGTGTCCAATGAAACACGAACACACTCACCCCTCACCTCCTTCAACTTCCCTAGGTTGACTCCAACATATACGCTTTCCAACTTCATTGTTTATTCCTCCTCCTCTTTTCCTCCCTGCTTTCCCCTTCTGCTTTCTGACCTCCGTTCTTATAAGATAACCCAGAGTCCAGCTAATGCTGTCTCTCTGTGCGTAGATGTGGGGCCGTCTACTGGAGTAGGGGGAAGCCACCAATGGCCACAGCCCCAGAGAAGAGCTGCTTTTCCTCTCCCAGTAGTCCTCAGTGCCAAGGTTCCTCAGCGAGGGGTGAGGCCTCCTGAGCACCTACCATCTATTGTGCTTCTGTGAGTAATCTAGGCGACTTTCCCTGCCTGGAGGCCAGCTGATTAGCCAATCTGATTGCGTCTTCAAAACCCCTTCACAATACCTGGGTTAATACTTGATAGGAGAGTCAGAAGGGGAATTTGGAGAGTAGGGGAAAGTGTCATTCTTTCTATGACATCTTCCCACAAGGTAACACAGGAAGCCATCCATCACCAGTCATCAGCTCCTCTGGGATATGGTTTCCCTTTAAATGCTTCAGAAGACATTCTGGGGGCGGGCTTTTTAGATCTAGGGGATCAGGGATTAATGGGTTTTGTGGAGAAAGCTTGTGAGACCATGTTTGAGGGTGAGAAGTATCTCCTGATTGCTAAATAATAAAACGTCTCAGAAATACATGTGGTCCTCATTAGTAACATAAATGAAAAAACTCTTAAATATCTTGAAAATATTTGGAGAGATTTACATAAACCAGAAATGGGGCACAGGAGAGATGGTTCCACTGTTAAGATCATATACTGCTTTTGGAAAGGACCCAAGTTCAGTTCCCAGCACCCACGTAAGGTAGCTCACTGCCACCTGTAACTCCAGCTTCTGGGGATCCAAGGCCTCTGGCCTTTTCAGGAACCCTTTCTCACAAGAAAATACGCAGACAGCCACAGACATATAGTTAAAAATAAAATGAATCTTAAGAAAAATCCAACCTGGAGATAGAAGGAACACCCCTCTTCTTATTTTACTTTTTGAGTTATGGCATTTGCCTCTTAAGCCTTGTGAAATGAACTCTATAGTTACTATGTTAACAATGTTAGCCATTATAATAAATATCAATTTATGGATAATACCTGTTAGTTCAAAATATGAAAATCATGAGATAAGATTCTATTGCCTTGCGTGGTAACATAATGTAAAATTCTATCTACCTATCTATATCTGTATCTATACATATCTTGCTACGATATAGTCAAGGTACTTGGTTATCTCCAAAGAAAGTCCGCAAATGCCCAAGTTTCTTCCATGAGATGGTGTAGTACATACATATAAGCTAGGCACATGCCCCCTGTATTTTTAAGCCTCTAGACTACAGATCCTGAACAATATGTCAACACTGTGTAAGTAGTTGCCATCCTGCATTTCTTAGGAATAAAAACAAGAAAACAAGTCTGTGTATGTCCACTACAAACACAAGTATATTCTGGGATATAATCAGTCTTTAGCTGGTAGTGTCCACGGACAGGAAGGGGTGTTTACACATGGGTATGTATAGATATACAACAGGAGACAGGGCCAAATGTAGGCAGATACAGTATATTCTTTCTTATCACTCTATGGCATGGATACAAGTTTTTGCACTCTTGAGCAAAATCAATTGTAGTACTACACAAGGAAAAGGAACGGCTATTTATCAAATTTGTTTCCACCCACATTCTATTGTTACATGGTTCTCTTTATCTCTCAGGCACCCTTGGATGTGGGTTCTGTCATCCTAATATTCACTGGAACCGTTTCCCACTGCCAGGACTTCTCCTTTGAACACTCACGTTCAATCTGAGGTCATCTGTTTGCTTGCGTGGTCTTTCTGTGAATCCCCTTTGGCTTGGCTCCCATTTGTAGGAAGGACTAGAAGACAGTTATGCTTTTGATAATGGCCTATCATTTCATCAGGTCTGACACATTCAGAATTCCACCGAGCCTTGGCATGGAACCCCGGGCCCTTTCAAATCGCCCATTAATCTGTGTCAAGTTGACCATTGTCCGGTGTGCAGGCCTTTGACTGGAAGAAGCCGGACTGAGGGAGAAAGGAAATCATATCCTGTCAATAAGCGCTGAAAATATTTAGTGTGGCAGGCTGTGTGTTTTCTTTCTTATGAAAAGCTGATTAATATTCAGCGGTTGGAGGTTAATGCCCTATTCATTTTATTCGCTTTACATCCTGCACACAGCAGTGGTTGTTCCAATTTCAGCTCCTAATTCATACAAGTCTGTTTCCAATCAGGAGATTAGTAACTTACTGCCTAAGCAGAGACAAACCACACAATTGCTCAGCTTACCTCTCCCCTGCTCAGGCATTCATGTGCACTTAAAACAGACTCATTCGTGGATGGATGGGGATGCTTTGAGACCAGCAAAGTTTCTTCAATGCGGGTATATCTAGGAAATTCTGTTTATGGTGTAAGCACGGGAAAGACCCAGACAGATGGAAGCAATGGGGGGGATTGTCTAAATACAGTCCCAGGCACCGAGGTCTCCAGCCTTGCTTGCAGACTGTATATATTTTTGGAGTTTTCTCGGTCCCAAATGCTCTTCCGCTGAACTCTGTTTCCACTCTAGCATGAGTCACGACAGACAGGATTCTTTCTGCTTCCTCCTTTTGCAGAGAATTGCATCATTTTCTAAGTGCATCGCAGCACAGTTTATCTATAAACTCTTCATGATTATTTTCGTTTTGGGGGCAGGGTCTCCCTTTGGAGATCTGGATGGCCTCCAGTTCACAGAGATCCACCTCTCTCCCTCCCATGTGTTGATATTAAAAGTGTGGACTACTACATACACTAACTTATCTTATAGGATCTTTGATATGATTGGAGCCCTCCCCCTCTTTTTCCTCTAAGGAAGTAAAATGCCAGGTAGATGAACTCCAAGAGGAGTGGTAATGATGACTTTTTTTTTTTCTTTTTTTTTGGTCATGCAAGGAAAACCTATGAATGGATCAGCAAAACAGAGAGAGATTGCCACTTCCTGGAGCACATTTGCAATGTTATCATATTTGTCTAGAAAGGATTCAGAGTAGAGCTATGGCTCACCCACTTCATTTGCAGTTATTTCGTCACTGTAGGGAAGGATAGGGGAGGAGCCACGACAAGGAATTTACGTGCAGGATGGTTGGCTGAAAGAATTTACCAACACGGTGGTTGTCTATCTTGGTACTAGGTGAGTTTTTGTATGCATTGATTTCTTATCTAGCCATATTGCGCTCCCAAACATTGGGCGCGCGTTTAGAATGGGGGGGGGGCTGGAAAGACAGCTCTGCTGGTCGAGAGCTTGCCTAGCATGCATGAAATCATGACCGATCCCCAGTGTGACATAAACTGGGCATGCCTGGACATGCCAGTAATCCCAACTGCCACTAGAGAGTGATTTTGAGGCCAACCTGGGAAACATGAGACTGTCTCAAACATAAATGAATTTTTATAGAAAAGGGATTAAGAAAAAGTCGTATCTCGAATGATTTGCTCAGAGATGTTGAGTTTGATTGTGATTTCTTGCCCAAAGAGTTTTCTACAGATGTTAATCTAGCTTATTTTGAGGCTTGAAATCCACCTCTATTACCTAGATACCACTAACATACCATCCTTCCCTTTTTTCTTCGATTGATGTACTAGTAATAGGACAAAGGATATTATTTTGAATAAAAACAAACCAATCAATCTGCTACTGAAAACATTTACTTAATCTTAAGTTAGAATTGACTCTGTTTTAGTTACTAGTGAAATGGCCCTAGTCGCATGTCTGTAAGCCTCATAATCTTTTAAGAGACCTAAGATAAAATAATTCAACGTACAAAGGCAACAACAGGAGGCTGGAACAGTGAGAAAGAGTGCTTACAATGTAAGCATGAGGATCTGAGTTCAAATCCTCAACAGTCATGGGAAAAGCCAGGTGTGAAAAGCTGTGTGCCTACAGTTGTAACCCCAGAATTGTGAGACGACTGAGATGGGAGGGTATTTGGGGCTTGCTGGTTGTTAGCCAAGCTCCAGGTTCAACCAGAGACTCTTTCTCAAAAGAATAAAGCAGAGAGTGATTGGCGAGGACACACATGTCTCCCCATGGCATCCACAAGTGTGCACAGGTATAGTGTGCCTGCACTTATAGGGTGTATCCACTACACAATATCTCCCCACACAATTGGTCTATCCCAGGCTACAATAGTATCGGTTCATCAGAGGTTTGTTGTGAGTACGGCATGATTTGTATCCGTAAAAATACTTGTAAATCTATGCCTTACTAAGCAAATCAGTCACCACAGCCAGTTCTCTGTGCTGTTTTTAATCTGTCCTTGTCTACCGATTCCCCAGCCGGTCTTCCAACTTCGGTCAACCACCTGCTGTGTTCTGTTGGAACTGGGCGAAACACAACTGTCTTAACTTCTCAACTCAGTCTTAAACATCTTATTCTCCACTCGTAAAGGGCTTGGCCAGCAAAAGCCCAAGGGATTCTGGGTGAAATTTCTATTGACTACAACTGTGCTTCTTATAGAATGCATCATGTCCTGTGAAAAACTCTTCAGCGTTGGTAACCTTGGGTCCAAGCACCAGCCCCTGGAAGCTGCATGCGAGAAAGTCCTTGGAGTTTTATCTGGGTGCTTCCTATGCCCTTTGTGATCTGATGTCGCCTTCTTGTCTTTCTTTAAACAGCACTGCAAACCCCAAAGTTGCCATCCTCATCAGTTCCAAATGTTATCATTGTTGATATCAAATACATTGCTGTGTGATTATCCCCACCCTGTGTAATTCTTTATCTGGTGACACCAAAACATTGTCCCCATCCACCATCAATGCCCTTTGACCCCCTTTCATCTTCTTCTAGGCCCTAACCCCCATGCCAGTCCTCCCTGTATGAATCTTGTCTCTCTGGGTACCTCTTATAAGTTGAGTTATCTGATACTCCTTTTGTGACACTCTTATTCCATGCAGCATCTAGACTCTCAAGCTCACCCCTGAAGGATGCATAAAGCCTTTTTTGTGTGAGGAAGGGTGGTGCCTACAGTATTCCGAGGCATGGGAAGGTTGCTGGGGAACCAATCTGCTTGGAGACTCCATAAGCCTCTAGATATTGGTAACGATCCAACGCGTGGTAGTAACATTAGCCTCAGTCTTAACTGGTGCTGATAAACGCACCCACTGACCAGGCTTCCTTGAGTCTCTGGGAAGAACACCGGGGGTCCAGCTCTCTGAGCAGCTCTTAGGAGGAGGCCATGACTTCCTGGACACCAGGAAAGCCTCGTGCGTGGTCAAGTTTCTCAGCACAGCAAGGTTTGCCTTTAAACTTTCGCATTTTTTTTTCCGTTCACAGATGCCACCAGGAGGGATTCCTTGCCTTGTGAAAATACTATTTTCTCTTCCTGCCTTTGGGTGACCATTAAAAAAAAAAAAAAAAAAAAAAAGCCGGCGCTTGAGCAGCGCTCCGCACGGGGTGTCTGGCCAAAATGCAAAGCTGTAGGGCAGTTTGCAGGCAGACACTGTTTTTCAAGAGAGGGAGCAGAGCGCGGTGCCTTTCAACACCTCTTCCGCCACTTCTTTAAAAGATGATTTAAATTTGAGGCAATGGGCCCGAATGCTGAACCTCTGACACCCAGACAAGACCTAATGAATCATACCCTTGACCGGCATTGCTCCCCTCCCGCCACTTCACTTGGCGGCCATGGTGGCGTTGTGTTTTGTTTTTCCTGCCCTCACAAAAACAGTTTTTCTTCCACAGACCACGTGCTTGTTAGCGGTGGCCAGGGCACCTCTTTGTATTTGTGGCATGGACAAGGCATCCAGCAGAGCCTGCGGACCCAAGCGCTCGCTTCTTCTCCGTGGGTCTGAGTTGCACAGGGAAAGGACAGTGGCGTCCCTGAGAGACTTAACTGAGTACCGCATCCCTACACAGCCTGGCTACATAATCTGTGATCTCCACAGCCAGATGCTCTCAACTCTGTAGCATCCAGCTTTGCCACGACGTAAGTGACTCAAAAGGACAGAATGTTGGCAGCTGTGTGGACGGAAGTGTTGGTGTTGGGGGCAAAGGCCCCAGTTCTAAGTATTGAGTAGAAGCAATAATCCCCGGTGTGCAGAGTTTCTCCCCGAGGGGGTGCGGGATGGCAGACAAGTGCATAACTTGCCCGAAAACTGAAGGATTCTCATGGGACATTGTTCCCGGGGAAGTAAATACATTATCTCTTCACCCGAGACAGGGACCCTATAACGGAGCAATGTAACCATATCGTCACAGTCCAGCCTGGTGAATCTGAGTTTGCTATGGTTACTTAGAGTGCACGGGGGAGGGGCTATATGCAGGAGTGTGGCTGACTCAAAGACAGCTGGGTCTCTGAAAACCTACTCCAGCATGCTAACAACTCGAGAAAGCTGGGACCCTGGAGCTCTCTGTATGACTCGCAGGCATTTCAGCAACTCTAAGAGTCTCCTCTCCTCTGCAGGCCTTCCTGCTTACATAACCTTGAAGAGGCAGGGGCTTTGTATATCTGGTAAATTTTAGGGACTTCCTGAAGCTTGTAAGTTAATCACTTCCTGAGTCTGGTAAGAGCTTCCTTTCTAGATAGAATATTTCTATCAGAGAAATCGCTACACTTCAAGGACACAGGCTGAATAAACCCGGGCTTCCTGTCTTTTGAGTCAATCCTGCATTGGGCCTCACTCACCTCTGTGAGGGCTCAGATGGTATTGTTCTGATGGTTCTTGTCCGATTGCTATTTTTCAGGTACTCAGAACAATACTTGCAGAGAGTTGGCGGGACTCCTCCCTCAGTGGCTGTAGCATATGCGAACAATTTAATCCTCCAGTCCAATCTTTAATGTAAATGTTTAATACAAACCTGATGTTAACATGATGTACAAGAAGTTCTGGCAGGAAAAGCGGGGCTTTACATTGTTCTACAAATCAGATATTCCCAGCTGCAGGGCCAGTGATGACTTTTAAGGATGGCAAGGGTTTCCCTTCACAGTGACAGTTGAACCCCAAAGTGCAAATGCCTAGTATGTCATGGGGGGTGTCAGTTACTCTCAGTTGCTCTCTGTGGTCTGCATGTTCAAAACCCAGGGTTCATAATTAGAATTTAGCTAATGTCAAATGAGTGAGGGAGACAGAAAGGGAACAGTCCCAGCTGTGACAGGACACCCCATTGCTGATGGCTCCAGGAATGGCAACTTTATCTCTCTATGTCCGAAAAACTAAGGTTTTTGTACAAAATTGGCCCCAGAGCCTGTTTTTGTCCAGCCTCAAGGTAAGAATGGTATACAAATAAGTTCATGTGTGCATCCATATATATGTATGCATGTATGTTCGTATGTTTGTACAGACATAAAGGGGGCCATGTGCATGCCACAGTACATGTTTAGAGATCAGAAAACAACTTGGAAGCATCTGCTCTTTCCTATCGCATAGGCCTCGGGGATGAAATTCAATATTCAGGCTTGGAAGCAATTTTTCTTCACCTGCTAAACCATCTTGCCAGCCTTTCTGGCTGTTGTTATGAAACACCATGAATTCAGCCCAGGCTTTCCTTTAATTCCTAGTGATCCCCTGCCTCAGATTACATATATGTCTTTGCACGCCAGGCTATGTTTTTATATATATTTTTTAATGACCGGAGAAAACATCTTTATGAAATGTAGAAGTGGTATGATTATTCCAATTTTATCCTTCATAGATTTTCATTAGAATGTGGCTACAGCCGTTCATTTACTGGCTAATCACTAGTGAGCTATGGTACTACAGTAGAAGAATTTGTTTGAATTGTGACTACAGGGTCCATACAAGATACATATACATATATATATGTATATATATGTATGTATGATACATTATATATGTTATATAATATGTATGTTTGTATATTATATATAATATATATTTTTAATAAAAAATGCTTCTTAGCTTGGCTCTCGCCAGCCCATTGTCAGTGACACCTTGTTGCCTGATCTTTAGCTCTAGGTTTCTGTACATTCACCACGCCATCTGGACATGGCTCACTGCACAGTAATTTTTCCCTTTTAAAGCATTCACTGACAGGACTATCACACTTAAAGCTGACCACTCTAAAGTCTCTTATTCTTTCACGCCTCTCCCCAAGGTCTGAGGCTCCTCAAGGAAGAGGGGGCAGAAAGAGCATAAGAGCCGAAGGTGGTGGATGGCTACAAGCAACAGCACTCTTCAGTCCCAGAAGGAGGAAGCTTTATACGTGAACACACAGATGGTGGGACAGCATACCCAGGCCTGTGCGAGCTCAAGCTAGACAAAGCCAATGACCTTCCTCCATCACTGGTAAGGTAGGTGGTGGTGGTGGGGCGTCGACCTGGGAGGAACTGGGAAAGATGGCAAATGTGATAAAAATACATTATATGAAATTCTCAGAATTAATTCAAAATTTAAAAATTGCTGAATATTTGTGGCATTGTCACCTATCTTTCTCTGCTTTAGACATTTTTTCCATGTTAGTGGTTATTCATAAAGCCAATAAAAAAATCCTTAAAGTTTGTGCCACATTGCCAGACAGCTGATGTTTTATAAAGTAGATAAGGAGTGGTATATATTTCAGAGTGTACAGGATCCACTTAGCATGAAGACATCCTTGGATTTGATCTCCAGTACCACGGAAACCCATCTGAGGGTGCACTTGCCATCCCAACCCTCTGTTGGTGGAGGCTGGAGGATCAGAAATTCATGAAACCATAAAAAGATCTGTGCATATGCGTGTGCACGCGTGCACACACACACGAACACATGCACACACATGCACACATAATACATGACATGAAAGTAGGAGCAAGTCATATTAGGAAGGAAATTGGGGGACTATGGGAGTAGAAGGGGATAGGATAAGAAAGGCTCCCAGCAGTGAATATGCTCACATTATACGTCTACATGTCTGAGCCTGTAAAAAAAACTTAGATTTAAGAAGTTAATAAAGGAAAACAAAATAGCTATTTAATGAAACTGGCTAATCACCAAGTGTTTGCAACTGGGGCTTAACAGGTGCCTGTGCTTAACAAAGCAACCTGAAGATGGAACCCGGAATGTGCATGTGTTTGGGTTTTGTCTTTAACTCCCACCCCCATGGTAAGGTTCAGGTTGATTTGACAACAACCAGTCAGGGGATAATTACTCTTGGTTTTACACTTTCTCCCCCCCCTACCCCCCTGAGACACTGCTTTTTTTTTTTTTTTCAGATAATACCCGACTTGGCCTTCCTTCAAAGCAGTTCTGATTCCCCTTATCTTAGACATCTCTCACTTTCCGTCTCCCACAGCTCCCCGCCCCTGTTCCCTATAGCAAGTGGACTTTGTACGGTACAGAAGTGTCTAAACCTTGGCACTTGAATGTTAGCTAGCACAGATCCCGATAACGCGTGTGTGCTGCCTCCCTCCCTTCCTCTCCTTGGGAAAGAATGTCCTCCTGAAAGTGAAATTGCACCCAAGCGCACCGAATTCCTAGCCGGAATATATTGAGGAGTCTGGGATTGGCCAGGTGACAGCAACCCTTTTGTTCCCAGCCAAATATTTACAATGGGGCCGGATTGACGTTAATTGTCACCGAACATTCCTGACCCTGGTGTAACCTTCTCAGAAGGTGAGGAGAAACCATTTAATCTCTGTGCTTTTATGGTGGTATCTTGAGTTTTTTTTTCACTCCAAGCTTAGAATTAATTTCCCTAGTTTACAGGCCGCAGGGGAATGTCCCGAGGTCCCCTTGGCCCCTCGGGATGAGGTAATTAGCAGCACATGCTGTCCAATGTGCTCGTAGAGAGAGGCCCCTCATTAGTTTCAAATCGTGGTTTGATTTCCAGCAGAAAGAGCTCAGGGTTTCCTGAGACTTAGCAACGGAACCTGACCAACCACAGGGGGGTCTCCTACCCAGCCTGCTCCTTGCCATCCTTCCCGAGGGTCAGATCTCCTTCAGGTGCCTTGTTGCTGCTTTTGCATTGGTGAACTGTCTGTCCAGATCAGACATCATCGCCTGAAAACTAGTGCTTCCCTTTCTGCCTTTCCCGGTTGCTCGTCTTCATTGGAATCATTTAGCTTTCTGGAATAGGTTTATTCGAGTCTGTTCACGGTACCTGGAGGCCACCGTAGCGGAGCATCCATTCTTCCCAAGGAGAAAAGCTCATGATTTTATTAAACTACCTTCATCATTTTTGGATTCGCAGGTAAAGAAAGGAAGTGATGAACAAAAGACAGCCTGGGGCTGTAGAGAGCGATGGCTCACAGGAGCCGTGAAGAAGGATGTATGCCCTGTAGAATGATGGGCCTTGGAAGTTGCTGATGGAATGCTTTCTCCAGATCCCGGACAGAACCATCCTGCTGGAGGATGCCCAGATTCGAAGGGCTTCAAAGTCAATGGAGTCCTGACCTGAAACACTTGGAGCCGTGAATCTAGACAAGCGGGCTTAGAATTCTATGATGTTTGATTGCAGCACTCTTTCTCTTTGGATCCCGGCTCTCCTGTTTCCCTAGCCGGTCTTCCAGGAGGTGGTGCTGGAATCGTCTGATCTGATGCATGCTACTGAATCTTGTGTGTTTGTTATATCTCTCCCACCCCCAGAGACTTAACGCCAATAGGAGAAGCAAGAGTCGCTTGCTTTAGGAGTAAAATTTGATTAATGCCAGAACCTTAAACAGAGAGAGAGGAAGGGAGAGAGAAGAATTGAGAAGAGGGAGGTTTTCAGACATTTGGCCCTCGTGTTGAGTTGTTTTTATTGGATGGAGTGACACCCTGATTATTCCCCTCTGCCTGGAACAGAACATGATCCCACATTTCTTTACAATTAAATTAAGGCTAAAGAATGGCAAAGACGTTATCTTTCATATGATATGTCTGAGAGACACTGGTTTTGGTCTACTGGAAGCCCTTGACTCGGTTGCTTTCTGAAATGCCAAGTTTTCTGGGCAAATCCCATTAGGGGGTTTGTGTAGCTTCTGTCTTTTTGTTTCCATCTGCTGGCTGCCACTGTTGGAGATGACTCAAGGACTGTTCACGCCAGGCTTGGAAATACTGAAATGGGGATATCTGTCTGGTCATTGTGGCCCTTATCTGTTTATCCTGCAAGCAATGATCATATCTATAATAATTTCATTATAGGTGCTTGGCCAGTTGTCAATTTTCTTCACTAATCTGAATTGTAGTGATCTTGTTTTCTTAGCTTCCTCAACACGTAGATGGGTATTTTTTTTTTTTTTTTTACCAAGTCGGAAAAATACTTGAACATTTCTTTTGGGATAGATTCGTTTATAGTCCGGGATGTCTTTGAACTTGCAATGTAACCAAAGCTGTCCTTGAACTTCTGATCCTCCTGGTTGCACCTTCCAGATACTAGGATGGCCAATGTGTGCAACCACATCTGGCCTCTGTGCATTTTAAAAAAACCATTTTTCACAATTCCTATGCTGTGTTCTCCTTTCAAGATGCCGTTTTGATTTCCTCAGAGTTTTTCCACAAGTCATTAAGGTTCTATTTTTATGTATTGAAGTTTGCCTGCATGTATATAAGCATGCCACACGTATGCATTGCCCATGGAGGCCAGAGGAGGCTGTTTGAGTCCCTGCAAGTTGCAGGTGGCTGGGAGCTACCATGTGAGTGCTGAGAGCTGAGTCCTGGTCCTCTGCTGCAAGCGCAGTGCATACCGCTAACTGCTGACCCATCTGTCCAGCCCCCTGCCTGTTTATTCTTAATGGTCTTCTCTCATTCCCTTAGTTCTCCAATTTGGATCTAACTCATCTCTGTTAAAATCTCTCTCTTCTCCCTCTCCCCCTCTTCTTTCTCTCTCCTCTCTTCCCCTCCTCTCCCCTCTTTCTTTCTCTTCTTTATCCAGTCTTTTGTACATTGCAACTCTCCAGTTCTCCATGACTTTTTTTTTTTTTTTTAAATCCTAGTCTGGCAGTCCGGTTGTTTCTTGTGACTTCTGTTTCCCTGACAACGATCTGGTAACCGTTTCTTTATTAAAACCCTCAAATTCTTCCGAGAGCTCGACAAACTGAAGCCACTGTAAATCTCCTTATGGGAGCAATTCCATCACACAGGAGATTCCGGGCTTGTTGATAGTTTCTGTCCTGCACACCCCTCCCCCAACCTGTGAGTGATTATGGGTCATATTTTCCTTCTTCCATGAATTCTTTTTTTTAAATTTATTTATCTGAGACAGAAGATCTCTATGTAGCCCAGGTTGGCCATAAATTATGATCCTCCTGCCTCCCCCTCCTGAGTGTTAGCATTGTAAGCATGTGCCATCATGCCTTGTCCATGTTTAGTGTTTTCTGATTGCCTGCTAATAGCCTGATGAATAGTCAGGAGTGCAGAGTAGACCCGCTTTCCTTGAGCGAGGTTGGATTCTGGGAGACAGCGCAGCACTGCTTCTCCTTGAGCCCACTGGACTTTGGTTTCAGCTTCGGTTGTGATACCCTGGAGTAGTATTTACTGTAGGCCACAGTTTCCCCAACTGTTCTTCAAGGGTATAGTGGCAAATGTTTTTGGTTTCCAGGTGGATTTTCTTCTGTTGAACTAATAACTGTACTGTACTTTACTGTAACATGTAACATGACTGTAACATGATGACAGCTATAGAAATCTATTAGCAAATAGGTATGCCTGTGTACCAGCAAAATGTGATTTATAAAGGCAGATGATGAGGTGATGGGCCCCAGCTGACTGATCCTGATCTAGGCATAGCATCTTCTTCCTAAGCAATGGCTTCTTTGGTGTTTAGTTTCGGGCTTAGCAAAGGGACAATATCTTTCCTTTCTAAATGGGACATCCAATGTCTTCCAGCCTTGTACTGTCTCAAGCTTCCATTCCGTTCTCAGACTTCACAGTTTGCATTCTCTACAAGGTCACAGGGATCAGTGAACTCACACCCCAATCCATGGTTGCCGTTCTACAGCAAGCCTCACTACACTCATACCTTGCGCCCTCCTCATTTTCCCAACCATGACTTCTGTCCTTTCCTGTGTCCTGCCATGAAATCTCCATTTGCAATGGTGTTTGTGAAGGTTGCTTTTGTCAACTTGACACAAGCTGGGAAGAGGGAGCTTCAAGGGAGGAATGGCCTCCATCAGATTAGCTTTTGGACAAACCTTTTGGGAACATTTCCTTTACTAATGATTGATGTGGGAGGGCCCAGCACACTGTGGAACGCTGGAGATGGTCCTGAGAGCATAAGAGCCATGGGAAGCAGGCCAATAGGCAGCATTCTTCCATTGTCTCTTTTTCAGTTCCTCCCACCTGTTTCTCCCTGAGTCTCTTCCCTGACGTTCTTAGCAATGGGCTGTGACATGGAAGTGCGAGCCAAGTCAACCTTTCCCTCCCCAGGCTGCTTTTGGTCAGAAGGCTTTGTCATAGCAATAGAAAGTAAAGCAGAACAGTGTTCCTGAGCTTTAATCTCTGTTTACTGCATCGAGAAGGATGGGCACACACTTAGAATTCTGTTCTGTGGAGTGCCACTGTTGGGAAGTGGCCCCAGAAGAACATCCCAGTGAGCAGAGAACTTATTTCATGCATATTTTTTAACTCCAAAATTTCAAGGGCCAGAAAGATGGCTCAGCCATTAGGAATGCATACTACTCTCCAGTATAGGACTAGAGTTTGGTTTCCAGCTCCCATATTGGGTAGCTCACAACTACCTGCAATTCCAGCTCTACGAGTCCCAACACAGTCTCTGGTAATGGCAGACAGCTGCACTTGTATTCACGTACCCCAACAGAGACACACATATTAAAGACAAAAATAATTCTTGTTTATAAAGTGAATCCTCAAACTAGCGCAGCTAATAATGCCCCCAAACAAGCCCTTTATATGTTCTGCCCAGACTTATCATCCTTTACAGAAGACGGTAACGAATTCTAGGCAATGAGGCTCAAAGCACAAGTCTTCTCGCTGTGTTAAAAAAAAAAAAAGCAGTGCTTATGGAGTCTTAGGGAGCCTGAGGACGTTCAAGTTGTCCTTTAAGTGGTTAAGCTGGGAGGACTCATGCACTGCAGATTGTGGGTGTGTCTTCTTTGACCACACTCTTCAGTGATTCTTGGCTCCTATGGGAATTGTCATTGCTTCAGCATTTGAACCATGCCTCCTAGTCAGAAGCCAAGATGCCAGCAAGAAATTCTAGAAAGATTATAATTGATTAAACCTCACCACAATGTACTATCTATCCTATGTTTATTTAGATTTTTTCATATAATATATTTTAATATCATGCTCTTTCTCAACCCTCAGCTTCTCCCACATTATCCCCAACTCCCTGTCTGCCCAGCTTCATACTTTTTCCCTTCAAAAATAGAAAACCAAAGAACAAAAATAAAAACAAATAATCATCCCCAAAGTCAATAGGGTAAAAAAAAAAGGCCAAAACAAAACACAAAGGACACAAAAAAAACATGGTTTCCATTTTGTATCTTTGTTGACTGCTTCTGGGCATGGAGTATGTTCCCTGGAGTATGGTTGATACACACAGTGACACTTTAATAGAGAAATCTTTTTTTTTTTTTTTTCCTTTCCCAGTAGGTATTAGTTACAAAAACTTCTTGCTTAGGGGTGAGATGTTTTGCTCACTTTCCCTTCTCAGTGCGAGGGTTTTGTTTGGTTTGAACCTGTGCATGTTGTGTGCATGCTGTCACAGTCTCTGTGAGTTCATCATATGTGTATCACTTCTGTTGTGTCTAGAAGATGCTGTTTCCGTGTAAGAACCACCACATCTGGGTCTTACACTCTTGCCTCCTCTCTTCCTTGTAGATCTCTAATCCTTGATAGGAGGACTTTGACAAGACGTCCTATTTAGCGTTGAATGCTCCCAAGTCTCTTCCTAGCTGCACCTTATCTATCTGTGGGTTTCTGTGTTAATTACCATTTGCTGCAAGAAACCTCTCTGATGAGGACTGGGAGAGACACAGATCTATTGGTAGAGTAACATGCTATTGGGAGTTACTTTATTGCTATGTTCCTCTAGCAGAATTATAGTAGTTGGTTTTCCTCAAAGGCTTGTGGTCTATCTTGTCTCAGGTTCTTAGCCACTTTAGCATGGTCAAGTGTGGGTTCTGTCTCATGCAGCAGGTCTTAAAACAAAATTTAAACACTGGTTGGTTACTCCCACAATGTTTGTGCCACTATTGTGCCAATATATCTTGTAGGCAGTTTGCTCTTGTAAGTCACTGGGTTGGTAGCTGACTGATACTGATGATTGTTTTTCTCCTTGGGTAACATGAAGAATACTTTCCAGCATCATGGATGATAGTCAGTAGGACTGAATGGTCTGTCTGGGTACCAGCTCAACTTCTCCATGTTTGATGATGTAAGTAAGTAGTGTCTTCATGAACAGGGCCTCCCCATCTGGTTGTAGAGAATAAACAATAACTTTGGCAATAGTCTGTGATGTTTGGAGACCTTTTTGAGACCCCTTTAGCCAACAACTCAACCAGTATTACACCATCCCTGGCACTGGGGAATTTTACTTTGCGGCATAAAATGTCTAGTTGGGTTGTTCTCTCCCCCATTCTAAGGTGACTATATTTAATGGAGTAAAAAGTTTTCATATGTGCATAAACTTTAGAAAGTTTCTGTAGTAGTGAATTTTCATAAGGCTTTTCAAAAGGCCTCTAGAGTTACTTGTCCCTGCCTTTTTGCTTCCTTCACATTCTCCCCAGTTAAGCCTCCTTTTCTAGTTTCCCCTTTATCATCTCGCTATAACACTATATCGGGTCTCTCATTCCTTGGAAGATTCCTCCTGCCCACCAGTCCCTTACCAGCTACACAACCTCTGTAGTTATTCCAGTTGAAACACACATATCTAAAGTTTAAAAGGGAACATCTACATTTAAGAGAAAACATGACATGTTTTCCCTTTGGGGTCTGAGTTACCTCATTCAGGATGGTTGTTTCTAGCTCTATCCATTTACCTGAAAATTTTATAATAATTTTTATGGGCATTGGTGTTTTGCCATGGGTGTTGAATTCCTTGGAAATGAAATTACAGACAGTTGTGAGCTGCCATGCTGCTGCTGGGAATTGAACTTGGGTCCTCTGGGAGATCTTAACCACTGAGCCATTTCTCCAGCTCCATAAATTTTATAATTTTTTTTTATCATTTTTCTTAACATCTTAATAGTATTCCATTGTGTGAGCATAACATATTTTCACTATATGTTTATTGGTTGAGGGACATTTAGGTTGTTTTCAACTTCTGGCTATTATAAATAGAGCCATAAACATGGATGAATCTCTGTAGGAAAATGTAGAGTCCTTTGGATACAAGAGTGCTGTGTCTGGATCTTGTGTTCTATCAATTTTCAGTTTTTATGGAACCTCCACTCTGATATCTATAAGGGCTATGGCAGTTGGTACTCTCCAGCAATATGATGTGGGATGTCTTTCTGTATATGTGTTGCTTTTATTGGCTAATGAATACAGCTGTTTTGGCCAGTGGCTTAGCAGAGTAAAGCCAGGTGGGAAATCTGAGCAGAGATAAATAGAGAGAGTAGGCAGAGTTAGGGAGATGCCAATAGCTGCTAAAGGAGACAGACACTGGAACCTTACTGAAGGCCACAATCTCATGGTGATACATTGATTAATAGAAATGATGGGTTAATTTAAGATTTAAGAGCTAGTTAGAAATATGCCTGAATCATTGGCCAAACAGAGTTGTAATTGATAAAGTTTTTGTGCGATTATTTGGGTCTGGGCTGCCAGAATGAAAGAACAGTCTCCATTTACAAAACGGTGCCTACCGTCTGTGGAATGGATCCACATAAGACCTAAAAAAGAAAAAAAAAAAAAAAGCTTAAGAGAGAAAAAAAGAGGACTTCCAGATCCACAAAAATGGAGCCAAGTACAGCTTCTTGGTAGCCACAATTTT